CTGTATAGGTGGATTGCTTTTTAAATAAATTAAATGTTAAATCGTAATCATTAAATGTTAATTATAATGTAATTACCACTGGCCAAACCATTTTTACTTCACACCCATATCATCTCAAACTATTTACCTGCAACTCAATATACATTGTTTGATCAGGTAGAGACCCTAGAATATAATTTTGTATGCTTAGGAGCAAAGTACTTTATCAATAGTACTTTAAAATGTACTTCATCAATAGTCTTTTTTATCTTGTTGCTAGCATTTACAATAGACTTGAGCTACTCTTGTTTAATATACTCTTGTTTTCCTCTTGCATTCAGCATTGTGGCCTTGCTGATAAAAGGTTTGTTTTAAATGCGTAGTTAAAAATACAATCCCAACTGATGATTGCCAAAAAACGTTAAAGTACTAATTTAGACGCATACCAGTGAACATAGAAGATTATGCAAATGTAAGCATAAAGCACCTCATCCACACCAATATAAACCTTTGGGAACCTTTTGAGTTGCATTATCAGGCAGGGACCTACACAGAATCGCTATAGGGTTTAGGTCTGATCTTTGACTAGGGCTAGGCCATTCCAAAACTTTAATTTTGCTTCTTTTCAGCCATTCTTATGTGGACTTGCTTTTGTGTTTCGGATCATTGTCTTGCTGCAACTATGCTTAAGCTTCAGCTCATGGACGGATGACTGTATGATGTTCTTACTGTGGAATGCTGTGTTTGCTTTACGCCACACAAAATGGGACCCATGTCGTCCAAAAAGTTCCACTTTTAACTCATCTGTCCATAGCACATTCTCCCAAAAGGCTTGGGGATCATGCAGATGCTTCTTGGCAAATGAGAGATGAGCATTTATGTTCTTCTTGGTTAGCAGTGGTTTCCGCCTTGCTACTCTCCCATGAAGCTCATTTTTGCCGTTTTCTGATTGTGGAGTCATGAACACTGACCTTAGCTGAGGCAAGAAAAGCCTGCAGTTCTTTGGATGTTTTTTTAGGATCCTCTGTGACTTCCTGGATGATTATACGCTGAGAAATTTTGGCAAGCCTGCCACTCCTGAGAAAATTCACTACTGTTCAAAGTGTTCTCCATTTGGAGACTATGGCTCTCTGTGGTTCAGTGGAGACCCAGAACCTTAGAAATGGCTTTGTAACCCTTTCCAGACTGATAGAGATCAACAACTTTTTTTCTGATCTCTTCAGGAATATCCTTTGATCGTGACATAATGTGCTTTTTGAATCTTTGTGCTGGCAACTTGACTCTGATAGTAAGGGTCAAAATACAGTAAGTGAGGTTTATATTGAGCAGGGCTGGCTGTAATCAGGCCTTGTTGTGTTCAATCAGCTGACTCTAATTATCCCTTTAATTGGGTTGATTTAACTAATTACTTTTTCACGCAGTGCCAGTTGGTTTTGTTCATTAAATAAATGAAATAAGTATAAAAATGTGTTATTTTTTCACTCAAGTTCCCTTCATCTGATATCAGATTTTGGTTGAAGAGCTAGAAAACATTCAGTGTCAAACATTTGCAATAATAGAGGAAATCAGTTCTTCAACCCATTCATGGCACAGGTCTCCAACTTTGTCATTTAGTCATTTACAGCATTCCAATACAAAATAAAGATCTGCTTTGTATTCAGTCTGTTTATTCCTATCTATTCCAACACTGATCTTCTGCCTTGCCACCTGCTGAGTGAATGTTGCAGTCATAAACAGCACTTGCAAGACATACATTCCCCTTGCAATGCTAATGACTAAACTGTTTGCTCTGGGTTGGTCTAACAAACTGCAAAGGTAAACTGACAATAAAAGCCTTTGCAATAGTACTGTGACTGTATGGTTCTAAGAAGGGCTACATATACACATTTTATGACAAAAAAGAACACTCAGCAAGACAGTTTGTCTATGAACTTCCCTATTATTTATAAATACAGATATGTGAGTGTTGTTTTCATGGAGGTATAAGAGAAAGCCCACAACAGGAGACACCTTCTTTGTTATCACTGCAGCACCAACTGCTTCATGTTGAGCTCCTCAGAAAATCTTCCCTGTTTAAGCCCCTTGAAAGTCCAGCTAGTAAAAAAGTTCAAAATTCTGGCTCGCAAAGCTTCTGGCTCACAAAGTCATGTCAAAAATCATGACTCAAGGTGGACACTGCCCAAAATTTGTATCCCAAAGTGCCAAATGTAAAATCTTAGCTACACAGGATGCATACTCTACACTTGCACACTTTACTTAGCTTGAGTGAAAACTGAACTACGTTTTTTCAACACATAAATATTTTTTATTTAAATTTGTTTAATTGTTGTCATTGTTTGTAACTGAATCATTATTAATTTTTACATACTACCCTTGAGAAATGTATAAAATGTATGTATAAAAATGTATAACATTTTATGTATGTATAAAACAAAATATTCTCTTATTATTTTACATAAGATATGCATATTCAACATTCAAAACAGTGCAGTGAGACCTGTCGGGAGTCCAGCTGCCTGTAAAGTGTTGTATAACAGTCTTTGAGACATTTTGTTCAAAGAAAGCATTCCTACGCTTAATGAGAACTTCTTATTTTTTACACAAAAGCAAAAATTCAGGCCAAGTAACCTAAAATGGTACTAGTAAAGTAAGATCATGTGCTTAGATTCTCTAGACTTTGAGATAAAGTTAAACAGTAGTCATTCTAAGATATGTAACAATTTCAAATCTAAATAAAAATTAACTTTCCATTTACTGTGATGCATAAAATAACAATTTTTACTATTTCAATAGGGAGTTGAAATACTGTACATAACACTTTAAGAAGTATTTTAAATTGTATCCTTAGGGGAAGTATATATATATGACAGGACCGCCAAAGTAAATGTGATACATAGTAGAATTAATTCATACTATGTATACTTCAATTTATACTTCACACCTGAAGAAGGCTTCACGGCCTAAACCTTGTGTTTTCTTTCTTCTCTTTTCAGCATGGAATAAAGCTATTCATTGTTAATTTATAATATTACATACAACAAATTTATTCATTCTTCTGTTTCAGTACACCAAAACCTGACCAAAATATGACCTACATACATGACATACAAAAGCATCTTAAAATGAGCTCTGTATGTCTAAAAACATTCAAAAAAAAATCTTGCAAATAAAGTAAATGACGGTTTTAGTGTTTTTTGCGAAGTTATAACTGAGCACAGAGCTCTTTGAAAATACTGATATATACTGATATATACAATTTTGTAGAAAAAAATATAAAAAGCACACAGCGAAGAAGCAATGGAATTGATTTATCCCAATTAAAGGTATTCGCCTACTGGCACAACAGATCCACAGATGATGCAATCTCCATTGCCATACACACGGCCCTATCCCATTTGGATAAAAAGAACACATACGCAAGACTTCAGCTCAGCTTTTAACACCATCATTCCAGAGAAACTAGTCAACAACTCGGTGCACTGGGTCTTGACACCACCCTGTGCAACTGGATTCGGGACTTTCTGACAGGCAGCAACCAGGCTGTCAGGCTTGGAAACCACACCCCCGGCACACTGACTCTGAACACTGGGGTTCCCCAGGGGTCTATTGCTTTACTCCCT